ATTTAGAAATATGTAATTTTTTCCCGCAGCCCATTGGTCTTATTTATTTATATTTAGTTATTTTAATTGAGGCTAGAAGTAATGGACCTCAACTTCAAAACTGTTTTGAAAAAAAAAACACATTGCAATTTTTCGATCATAGCATTCTACACATTGGACTATTTAATTGCAAAGTACATATTATTTTAATATATTATAATAATTTTTAAACTTAATTTCATTTACAACGTAGTAGAAGTAAATTCCCCTTGATTTTAAATATGTGGCGTAAAGAAAACAATACATTATTGACCCTTCTTCTGAAGAACACCATATATTTATTAATAAAAAGGTGTAAATTACAAATATTAAATTTAAATTAGCTTTTATTTATTAATTGCTAATAGGAATTATATTGTGGTTTGTTTCCTATTTTGTACCTAACAGTTCATCTTTTAAGCTATCAGATTCGGACTCACTTTCGTCGACATTTCTAGTGGACACTTCTTGAGAAGTACACTCTTCAAAAACGATTTGGTGAACATTTTTGCTCTTTTCTTTTAAGAGCCCATATAAGTCCCTAATATAATCAACTTTTGCCGGATTATGTGGAATTTGATTGACAGATTAAAGTGCACTATTCTGGGGAACTGTCTTCATGTAACGGAATATTAATCTACCAACCTAAAGAACAGAGATAAAATCATGAAAATTTGCTTTGATATGGATTGAAGTACGCAGAAATCATTTTTGCATTCTTTGGAAAAATGAACAGAAGTCCTATGAGCCCCTGTTCTAGCTACCATCTCAATTTATTTATTTTAGTTAATTTATTTTAGGTAATTAATTTATTTTATTATTTATTTTATTATTTATTTAATTTATCTAAAACAGTAAAACCTGTATGTGGCGTATGGGCAAAAATTATAAACTGCATACGTGGCAGATGAAATACAAAAAATATTTTTTTACTCTCAATACTTAATTATCTTATTATATGGCTGTGACCACAGGCTTTTGACCAATCGTAGAGATGTTTCTTTAGAAGTTCGGGAGTTGATTCGTTGGAATGTATATGTGAGAAAGCATGGGGTGGTGACGGTAAACCGCCCTTGCCATTTCTTGCTTGCAAGACTCAGAAGAAAATCCCCTGTGAGACTCACAAGATTCCTATGGGGACTGTGAATTAAGTAGAAAAGTAAGAACAGAGATTGAACTTCGCTGATATTTCTTTAATAGTCTTCTCCGATGTTGATATTTATATGAGCATGGAGCCTCTCACTACCCCGGACGTGCTGTTGTTTGGAGAGGGAGGATAGGGGTGAGAGGAAGAGGAGGGAAAAGAGATGTTAATTATGGTGGTAAGTTTGTATATGGAAATGAAAATCTGGTGAAATTAGCCGGTATAGGTGGGTGGGTGTACTATTTGGTTTATGGTGGGCGGTGTTATAGTATGTTATGTGGGTGGCGGTAGTACGTTTGGTGTGTGGGTGTATTTGTGAGGTTGTTTTGGAGTGGGATCGTGAACGGAATGAAGTGCGGGTTTGGAGTGCGGATTTGATATCTCTAGTCGCTGTGTTGACAATGTCTTGTCGGATTGGTGTGAGATGTAAAGTTGGTCTTAGTCTGTTGTAGTTAGTGAAGGGAGGCGGCCTGAATGCAGTCCTTAGGAATGTGTTTTCTAGTCGACGGAGTTTGTCGTAGTTCACATTACTGGTGGTGGTTCAAGTCTCGCAGTTGTATTTAATGATTGGTTTAATGCAAGTCTCGTATATCTCAAGTTTGGTCTTTGTTGTTGTCTTTGGGTGTGAAATGACTGGGGAGAGTGCACTGCGCTGTCTTGGAAATGCGTCTGGGCAATGTGCACTGTGCTGTCTTGTCTATGTGTCCCAAGTATTTTGTGTTCTCAGTGCAGTTGATGGGTATGTTGTCGAGGATGAGAGCAGGTAGATTTGAGTCAGTTCTGTTTCTGTTGAAGAGAATTGCTGTGCATTTATGTGGGTTTAAGGTGAGGTCGTTTTCTTGTTTCCCTAAAGTGATCCGGTTTATTGTGTCCTGGAGGGTGCGTAGAGGCTGAATATCGTAGTTTTGTCACAGTCAGTATAGTGTCGCCGGCGTAAATGTAGGCGTTTGTTCGGTAGGTCATCCATGTAAAGGGAAATAGTGTCGGTGAAAGGACTACTCCTTGGGGGACGCCGGCGGAGATGGGTCTTGTGGAGGAGATGGCGGGAAGGAGACAGATGTGAAATTATCTGTTGGCGAGGTCACTTTTCAGAAGGGGGAGACAAAATTTTGGAATGTGTCCCGTGATTCTGTAGATGAGGGTGTTGTGATTAATGGAGTCGGAAGTGTGAGAGATGTCTAAAAAGATTGATGGTACGAGGGTGTTGGCGTCATGTCTCTTTGTTGGAGTCTGATGGCGATGTTACATGAAATTCTGTCTGTACTTCTGTCGATCTGTCTGTTCGGAAACCGAATTGTATTTGTCTTATTCGTTTGTGGAGCCAGTTTCTTTAGAACGATACGTTTGAATGTTTTTCCTAAAATTGGCACAATCCTAATAGGTCGGTAATTCTCAGGACTTTTGCGTGGTTTGTCTGGTTTGAGTAGCATTATAATTTTTGCGTTTTTTTTAGATGTCAGGGAAGTAGTTTGTCGTTTAGCATGCGTTGAAAAGTTTGGTTACGAAGTCTGTGGCTTTTTAGTCAGTTGTTTCTGCGCTATAACTTTCACTCCGTCGGTCCGGTTGCTTTGCTTGTGAGTGCAGTTATATTATTTCGTCGTTGGTGATGGTCCATGGTTGTTGTTGATGAGGTGGGAGGTGTGGAGTTTTTAGAAATTATAGAGCTGTGGAAGAGGAAGCGGGTGTTTGGAGAAGTAAAACGTTTTTGTAATTTGTCCGCAAAACGTTGTCATCATTTGTGGGTTGTATGTCAAATTTCCGTCTCGTAGGTTGAACGGAGAAATAGCTTTTGTCACGGTCTTAAGATCTTTGTTGAGTGTTCATATTCTTCTGGGTGTAGGGTCAGCTCTTCGATGGTATTTGTTTATTTTTGTCTTTCGTAGGTGTCTAGTGTTTCGTGAAGTACTTTTTTAAAAATAAATTGAATCCTAACTTGACGCATGTGCTTACGCTGGCCATCTAAACAAGGCGAGCTTACTTTACAACCTTTGACAAATATCACTGCCATTGCACAATCTCACTATATTGCGATAAAATGAACAGTAATATTTAAAAAAAATTAAGATTGCAACAAAACATGACTCCTTCCATAGGTTCTGCAAACATTTCAAGCCATTTATTTGGATTTTGCTGCGAGATTTTGGCAATATTGTTAGTGATTTGCGTCGTTTTTGTAAATTTGCGTACAGTGATTTAATTTAATATATTAATTTTGTGAGATTGACGATGATGATCACGAGGGGGAATAACCACCTAAGACATTTATTACATCAAGAATTCTTATCTTTCTAAAACATTTTATCAGGACTGAAATTAATTCATGAAGAACAACATAGAATAAACTAGTTTTGCATTTACGAAAAAAACACATTATGCATTTCATTTAAACTGTCATTCTGACAACAGTGAGAAAACGAATTTAGTGAGATGAATAATCCGGTACTGTACTGTACTGACGTTTACTTATAGGGAAACTACGCGGCATGAGTACTTTATTCGTAGAAATCTGTTCCCTATCTAATTGTGCGTTTTTATAAGTTCTTCCCAACCGTACGGCGATTGTGTAGCACAACAATGGCAATAAATTGATTGAGACTAGTAGAAGTTCTATACCAATATTGTATGACTTGTAATGAGTTTTACAAATGATGACTGAGATGTGCTAATACGATCAGAAATTGCGGTATACATTACATAACCGTACTAATGCGAGAAAATACATGCTGTTGGCGCACCACAAGTTTATTTAAGTGATACCTAAATCCTCGCGACTTCGGGCAGCATTTGTCCTGGCAG